GGCCTTTAAGGTGTCGCGGATAAATACAACAAAATAAAACTAGTACCGGTACCGAAAAAAAAAAAAAATTCATAACACACGTGAAAAGACCCAGAAAAACCGAGTAAACGATAAAAACGATAACAAAATAACGCTGAAAACCAATAAAAACCCTGAAAACTATACTTTTCACACCTGAGCCTCAACTCTCGCGGCCCAGTACCAAACGACTCACGGGCCAGTACCGGTCCGAGGCCCGGGGGTTGGGGATATATGGTATAGTATAGTATATATATATATATATAGACAGGTATATGATATGGAGTGGGTAGTGTGTTAAAAGGATGCCACATAATTTCATGGAAATGAAACTTATCTAGTAGACTGAACTTAAAGAAACATCAAACATCAAGGTGAAAGGATTATGTGGAAGGCTGGTCCATTTTTCAGTAACTCATACTGGTGCTCAGGTTGTATGGCTCCCATGTGCTTGTATGTCTACCTGACAACATCGGGTCATGCTAATGATGGATGGTGTCTCCTCCGAGACCTGGAACAAGGCAACACTGAGCTCCAAACCATCTGAGGTGGACCGAAATATAATGTCACCGAGGTGTTCAATTGGATTTTGAACCGGTTAGTGGCATCAATTTCTTCAGCCTTCAGGAACTGCCTGCATACTCTTGCCACATAACACTTTTGTTGGAATTGTTGTGGACCAGGAGGAACCCAGGATCCAGGATATGCCAGACCATCACTGACCAACAACCAACTGCCAACCTGTGTAGGGTCCAGGTATAGATAGGTATAGTGCTACCAGCAATGACACTGACCCCAGCCAAATGAAAAACTAGTAAAAAAAAAAAAATCAGAAAAGATGAAGTGGGTTTGAGTTTCCTGATTGTTGCCTCTGTAGTTCATTTTATTAACATCAAAGCAACTGTTACTTAACTGTTCAGATCAATATCCCAGAAGTTTAACAGAATTGATGCTAAACTCTGATTTAAAAAAAGACTGTATCCCTTTTTAAAGTTTACTACTTTCCTATCTGTCCATGAAATGTTAAGTGGTGAAAAAAGAAAGAAATTATTTTATTTTTTTACAATATTTTTACAATATTATCAGGATCAATAAAAATAAAATATGCATATCAGTGTCACTCCACAGTGAACTGATCATTAAAACTATTATAGAATATATTTTAAAATAACTTCCATGTTTCTTGTAGCAGAAACATGTCGTTCTGCTGTAATACACCAAGATTACCAACAGATGGAGAAAGACTTTATATGTGAATCTGCATCACTAGCCTCAGTGGGAGTTTACAGAGTGTGTGGGGTTTGTGCTGTCTCAGGAAAAAGGAAAACACGATTTAAAAAATATCTTCAGGCTCAGTTTGAGTCACAAGCTGATGAGTTTTTGAAGCTCGTCAGACACCGAATCATCTCAGCTCTCTGTGTTCATGTTAAACTACTGAGTGAACTCCGTGGAGGAGGGACACTTAAAATACAAACATCCAAACAGCGATCTCTAAACTGATAGCCATAGTTTTACTCTGCTTCCTGTTACACCACATGACTGGAATTAGTGCAACTGTCAAATATAATGAAATTATAAATCTAAGCTAACATGTTCAAGTGGTTACTTTCTTTTTTTATGAAATAAAAGTCAAAATTATGACTTTTTAGTCACATAAAACTAGATCATGATCATGTAATTAACTTAATTCAAGCACTTAGCTAAAGGTTGGAAAATCTGCCATGTTAGTTTGTTTGCGTTGGTTAGTTTCTACGACACACACTGTTTCTGTGCAGTTTACATAACACACAATAGCAGGATTACACAAAGGCTTTCCTAAACTCACTTCACTGAGTTCACTGACTATAGTGCCAACACTCAGTACTTACTCCACAATTTTCACATTACAAATCTGACTCTGTTGTGACTCTGTTGCTGTAGTGATGAATCAGAGTTGTAAATATGAGCCTGTGTGTGTAACTGTGTTCCTGTTGTAAACAAGTGAAAAAATGATATTGAGTCAGCTGCTACATCTTGACACACCAATCTTCTATTCTAGGTCAGGTTTTGTTTATTAAGGAACACACCCAGCTCTTACTTATAGCTCCGCACTCAAACACAACACTGGATCCGGCCCTGACTCCTGCTCATGTTGCTGAAACACTTC